GTTCAGGTACGACTCAGGTCCGGTGTGGCTGTGGTTCAGTTTAGGTCCGGATCAGGTCAGGTGCAGATGATGGTTGGCTCAGGTCCGGTGCGGCTCAGGGTTTATTCAGGTACGCTCCAGGTCAGGTGCGGCGGAAATCAGGCTCAGAATTGTTTGATTCTCATTTCCTTTATCTATTTCTTGCGGGTGTGACTTTCCCATACATTTTTGTATATATGTATTTTGAATGGTACGCAATTGCCCTCTTGTCAGGTACGCAATGCTACTCAACAGTGAGCCTGTGAGTGCCTAGAGTGTGCTACGGGTGAGTGGTTAGTGTCACACCTACTCAACAGTGAGCCTGTGAGTGCTTAGAGTGTGCTACGGGTGAGTGGTGAGTGTCACACCTACTCAACAGTGAGCCTGTGAGTGCCTAGAGTGTGCTATGGGTGAGTGGTTAGTGTCACACCTACTCAACAGTGAGCCTGTGAGAGTGCTCCTGGAGCTGTGCGTAATGACTGCCTCTTGTGACTGTGCGCCTGAGAGCCTAATAGCCCGCGAGTGCTTGCAGCATGACCCTCGTGTGAGTCGACTCAAAAGTCAGCTCGATGAGTGGGGAATGACTGCCTCTTGTGACTGTGCGCCTGGGTGCCTGTGGATTGCCCCTGAGCAACAGCAACGAATTGCTATGGGTGAGTGGGTAGTGACTGTCAACGAATAGCAACGAACTGCTATGGGTGAGTGGGTAGTGACTGCCTCTTGTGACTGTGCGCCTGGTAGCCTGTCAGCCCGCGAGTGCTTGAAGCTTGTGACCCTCTTCCCTCGTCCTCTTTCTTCCACTCTTCCTCCTCCTCGCCCATCTCGCTTTGTTGTTGACATCTACATGATTTCCCCATGGCATGAGCTTGATTTCCCCATGGCATGAGCCTGATTTCCCCATGGCATCAGCCTGATTTCTCCATGGCATGAGCCTGATTTCTCCATGGCATGAGCCTGATTTCCCCATTGCATGAGCCTGATTTCCCCATGGCATGAGCCTGATTTCCCCATGGCATGAGCCTGATTTCCCCATTTCATGAGCCTGATTTCCCCATGGCATGAGCATGATTTCCCCATGGCATGAGCCTGATTTCTCCATTGCATGAGGCTGATTTCCCCCTGGCATGAGCCTGATTTCCCCATGGCATGAGCCTGATTTCCCCATGGCATGAGCCTGATTTCCCCATACCATGAGCCTGATTTCCCCATGGCATTAGCCTGATTTCCCCATGGCATGAACCTGATTTCCCCATGGCATGAGCCTGATTTCCCCATGGCATGAGCCTGATTTCCCCATTGCATGAGCCTGATTTCCCCATGGCATGAGCATGATTTCCCCATGGCATGAGCCTGATTTCTCCATGGCATGAGCCTGATTTCCCCCTGGCATGAGCCTGATTTCCCCATGGCATGAGCCTGATTTCCCCATGGCATGAGCCTGATTTCCCCATGGCATGAGCCTGATTTCCCCATGGCATGAGCCTGATTTCCCCATGGCATGAGCCTGATTTCCCCATGGCATGAGCCTGATTTCCCCATTGCATGATCCTGATTTCCCCATGGCATGAGCCTGATTTCCCCATGGCATGAGCCTGATTTCCCCATGGCATGAGCCTGATTTCTCCATGGTATGAGCCTCATTTCCCCATGGCATGAGCCTGATTTTCCCCTGGCATGAACCTGATTTCCCCATGGCTACAGCACCGCACTGTTATGGGTGGGTTACTGATTTTACATACTTAGTGGTTCTTATTGGTAGTGGGTATTGTGAATAACAAGAAGAGCATGCTGGTCGGTCATATTCAGGTCAGTTCTGGGAATTCTCACTGTAGTGAGCAGCATCTATAGCATGTTGACCGAACCACCCATAACCTCTGCAATGCAATGCTACAAATGAGCTGCTGATTCGCTGTATCTTTTGAGTCAGCTGTAAGGTCACTTTGGGTCCACTTGACGAGTCGCTTTGGGTCGACCTGAAGGCCACTTTGGTTTGACTCAAAGGTTACTTTGGGTTGATTCTAAAAACCACCTTGCTGCTTCTCTGCATCTCTGAAGACAACGCCGCTTGAGTGCTTTTCTCATTGACACTTATCTGTCTTTCCTTCCTTCATGTCTCCTTACATGTGTATAGCTGGCGGCAGTTCCAGCTGTACCGGTGCAGTAGTGTAGTGGAAGATGGACAGCTTTATCTGTCATGTCGTTTCTCCCAAGTATCGGGGCCTCCTCTTATAAGTGTCCCCTATCACTTGCATATATGAAAGGTGATCCCTCTAATTGTGTACATAATCTATGTGTTTCTATTTCAATATTTTTGGAATCCAAACATGTGCTATGGTGAAGTTATCACCATCCTAGAAGTACCTCCTTTCATCTCAGGTTAAAGAAAGTTGTAGTGATTAGTTTATGAGGGGTTATAGTATGATCAGTTCTTAGCGAATTCGATTGTAAAGGGCGTGTACTACGTGTCATTGCCTCCCAATGAAGTCAACGTCAGCTGCGATACTTCCAGCGGAGATAAACTCTGCGTAAATTTCTTCGCCAGCCATTCACGCCGTAACAGAGCATCACCGAGGGCTAGTCCCGTTGGCCCCTGCCCCTGAACAACTCGGTAAGAAACGCGCGAAACAAGCTTGCGAAAAGCAAGGGCACAGCCAGACTCGGGAGAAACACGCGAAATGCGTGCGTGGCGTCGCACGGCGAACAAGGTGACTCGGCGCGATTCGCATTCCGTGCATTGCTGTCGTGATAGACTCGCTCATATTTTCATTCCTAACCCAAGAAACACATCAGCTCATTTGCACGGGGCTTTGGCTTCACTCACCTCCCCCCCTGGCTCCCTCCACACAATCCTTTCTTCTCTTTCGCCTCGACTCACACGGTCACTGGTCCAGCGTCTAGTATTTAGTTCGCTCTAACCTGTATTTCTCAGCAGATCCCAGCTTGATTACTTTCACAGCTATCATGGTAGCCGGTTCCTTCGAAGCAAGAGTTTCGTCAGCGATCTTCAGCGCCTCTGCGCAACTCTTCGTTCTTTTGTTAGTAGAATCTCAACGTCCCTTCTTTTTTCGAATACCACGTTTGTTGATTCGTTGAGTACTTACGAATAGCAGGTTTCGTTTTTTCTCGTTTGCCTCATCAGCTGGTACCGGCGACGCGTCACTATCTCCGATGGCGGCCAGAAACGCTCCTCGCGCGTTTCTCCGAACACTCCTCGCGACTCTCCTCCTCTCCTGCCTCCTCCTCCCGCTCGCTCCGGTGCGCGCGTTCGAATTCGACTGCGCGAACGAGGTCCGCGAGAACGTCGCCGTCCTGAGCTTCTGTAACGGTGACGGCTGGCGCTACTCGTGCCTCTACGGCGGCGGTTACTCCACGGACGGCTCGGGAGAGTGCACGCTTGTTCAGGCCGGCGCGCTGACCTGCGCGGACTGCGAGGGGAACCCGCACGACCTGCCGCGTTGCTGCGATATAGACCTCTCCGGTTACGAGTTAAGCGCCGGCATACAGGCGAACACGTATGACACCGAGTGGGGAATCACTCTCTTGCAGTGCCCTGGGAATTCTGACTGTGGCGACTTTGGTTACCCGCAGTGTAACGGGGGTGGGTTCGACGGGATTACCCCGTACTGGGTCAATCAGTATTCCTATGACAGAGGATACGACTACTGCCCCGAATCAAGTGGAGCTATGCTGCGCGAGATGGAGCCCCGCGCGCACAGCAGCGGCGGAGTGCAGTTGCGCGAATTAGAGCGTCCCGTGGCAGAGATCCGCGCAGAACCGCCGCACCCGATCGCTCCCCTCGGCGACGGGGCACTGGCGGGCGGAAAAAACAAGATGAGCCGCCGCCTATGGGGAAGCGGGCGCCCCTGGTCTCCCCCCAAGATGTATAGCCGCCGCCTGTATGGGAGCGGGCGCCCTTGGTCTCCCCCCAAGATGTATAGTCGCCGCTTGTGGGGAAGCGGGCGCCCCATGTACAGCCGCCGCTTGTATGGGGGCGGACGCCCCTGGTCTCCCCCCAAGATGTACCGCCGCCGCCTGTATGGAAGCGGGAGGCAGTGGTACCCGTAATAAGCAGATTCGACACCATCACCCGCGCAGGGTGTAACTGGCGAAGTGCGAAGGAGGTTCGACAGAGCTTGAAGTGACGCCAAGGTGGAAGATGGTAAGACATCGCAACACAAGGAGAGATACTCTTGAGGGGTTTGTGAACGTTATGTTATTGGTTTGGACGCATGGGGGTTGGTTGGAATTTTGAGATTAGGCATGCCCAGTGCAACCATGTTCACTTACTGGTAGGGCTGAAATAAGATCTTCCAGAGCGACCTGTTTGTGGACGGGTAGGAGGTTAGATTAATGGTGGTGGTTTAGCACATGGCTAGTTGAGGTGTATGGGGTTTCTGGTGGTGTCGGCTGGGTGGGAGGAGATTTTTGCAGGACCTGGGTGTAGATTGCGTGCCTTATTATTGCCGACTTCTGTTTTGGCTGCTGTGTTTGTTTTAGCTAGTTAATTCAGAAGATGAACCTCAATCAATAGCCAGACATTCATGACTAAAGGTGGTTCCACCTACATTCCTAAACGCACCCACGCACAGACACATAACTCGACTGTCTAACAGTCTGCAAGAACAATTCTTTAATATAATCACCCCCCTCTAGCCTACGAACTGACCTTCAATCATCTTGAAATCAGGGCCAGCTTGTCTCGACTCTTGAGCTTCGAGCAAAGTAGCAGGCGCTGAAGTAACTAACCCCCTCCACCAAACAAACAATAACTTATTTTACTCCCTCCCTGAAAACTGAAATGCAGGTCCCAGCTCCTTGGCATTGGTACCATGTTCTTTGTTTGTACAACGACCACTCCCCTCAAGTGTAGCTCGTCTGGACTTGGGACGAGCAAAATGCGAGATGCACACACAGCCACACAGCCACACAGCCAAATGGCCATACCCGCCATGCTCCACTTCACCCTCTTACACCAAAACCCTTCAGGCATACTGCACTCCAGCCACGGGTGCTGCTGCTGCATTAGCCACCACACCTACAGCATCAGTGACAGCACCACCAGTGTCAAAGCCACTTTCTGTCCCTCCTCCCATTCTTCCTCCCAGCCCTCCCATTCCTCCTCCCATCGCCCCTCCGATTCCCCCACCAATGCCCCCTCCCATTGTTCTCCGCCCAACACCCCTCGATCGATGCAAGGGACTCCCAGCTGCTGCTACTGCCCCTGCTGGCCCTGCTGCCGTGCCGAACCCAGGAGACGACAGCGAGGGAGGCGCGTGAATTCTTCCAGGTAGGGTTTGGTTGTTTGAAAGAAGCTGGTGACCAGACAGAAGCTGGTTGTCATAAACCTTCCACATGCCCATCACATGCCCCTCCTGCTCACCCTGCTGACCCAACTGCTGCTGTTGATGGTGCTGCTGCAGGTATGGTTGCTGCTGTTGCTGCTGCTGCTGCTGCTGCTGCTGCTGCTGCTGCTGCTGCTGCTGATGCTGCTGCTTCAGACTACTGACACCACCAGCGTTACCCCCACATCCGTCCACAATACCACCACTCAAGCCAGACCTTCCAATGCCACTACCAACGCCACCACCCATACCCCTGCCACCCACACTGCCCCTGGCAACTGCTGCAACTCCTCCTGCTAATGCTGCTGCTGGTTCTCCTCTGTCCACCGTTGGTGGGTTGGAGAGAGCACCATCGAACGCGCTGAAGGGAGGGACGTCGGAAGGGGGGGAGAATGGCTGTGCCGTGTCAACATTCACCACTCCCGGGATAATGCTTAATCCGTGCTGCTGCTGCTGCTGCTGCTGCTGGAAGTTCTGCTGTGTCTGCTGATTGACTGGGCTGACTGGCGGCTGACGTGGCAGGGAGGACGTGGATTGGGAATGGGGAAACGGTGCCACTGAAGCCGCTTCCATCTGTTGCTGCAGCAGGTGCTGCTGCTCCTGCAGTGCTGCATTGCTGATGCTGATCACCCGAGAGGCTGACAGGCTCCTCCTCCTGCTGCTTCCCCTACTGCTGCTGCTGATGTCGTTAACACCAGCAACAGCGCTGCCGTTACCACCTTTGCCACTGCTGCTGTTTGGTTTGATTATCGATCGAAGCACAGCGTCCATTTCATCATCTGTATCGCTCAGGACAATCGTGTCGCTCAAGCCGATGGCGTGGCTGGCTTCGCTTGGGTGCAAGCAGCTCACCTGGCCGGCATCCGCTGTCACTTGCTGAATGTCACTGGGGCATGTATAGGCGGCATGTTGGCACGTGTGGGCTGCTGCCGATAAAGGCTGCTGTGCCTGTGCCATTTGTTGCTGGAAACGTCAGGTGGGGGGGGACGGGGAGGGGAGAAAAAGGGGCCAGGGCGAGAGAAACGACGAGGGGAGAAGAGGAGAAGGTGGTTGGGGACCGAAGGGGGAGGGGGAGGGGAGGGGGGGGGGGGCGGGGGGGTTGTGAACGGGAGAATGGCAAAGAATAAATAAGTGCAAGGGGAGAGAAAGAGCGAGTGAACCAACAGTGCCGCCCAGCTGGAAAAGGCTAGGTTTGAGGTGTGTCGAGGTTTGCGACAATGGGTGCAGGTCACTGGGAACGAGGTTTGCGCCTCGTTTTGAGACATCTCAAGCTTCAAGACATATAGACTGTGACGACTCAAACTCTAAGACATATAGACTGTGACGTCTCAACCATAGAATGTGACGTCACAGATCTCAAACCCAGACATCTAAGATACAGCACGGAAAGAAAAGGCAGTGCGGATCAGGCAGCAGGAAAGAAAGAAACGAGGTTGGTGACTCGTTTTAGACGTCTCAGGCGGCGTCTCAAGTTTCAAAGTGGGACATCTCAAAAGCAGTGAGGGAAGAGGCAGTGCGGCTCACCTGGAATGCATGCTGCCTGGCTGCGGGTTGCTGGCGTGCCCAACCGTTCTGAGTTGGTGCTGGCGCCTGCTCCCCATTCCACTGCTGCTGTGGACTCATCTGATGCTGCTGTGGGCTCATCTGATGTTGCTGCTGTGGGCTCATCTGATGTTGCTGCTGTGGGCTCATCTGATGTTGCTGCTGTGGGCTCATCTGATGTTGTTGATGCTGCTGCTGCTGCTGCTGCTGCTGCTGCTGCTGAGGGCTCATCTGATGCTGTTGCTGCTGCTGCTGTTGCAGCTGTGAGATCATTTGCTGCTGATGCTGCTGCTCCAGCTGCTCTCTCTCTCCTCCGGTCCCTTGCCTCATCCCCCCACCACCTGCCCCTCCTATTCCCTGCTGCTGCCGCCGCTGCCACAGCTTCTGCTGCGCGGATAGCCTTGCTGCTGACGCCACGGAAGGATGTGCGCTGCGCCCTGAGACAAGGCTGGTATTTAAAACCGGGGATTTCTGGAGTGTGTTGAATCCACAGGGGGTAGTGGAGGACGAGGATGATGCGACTAGCGGATGCGGAACAGCAGCTGCAGGTGTTAATTCAGGTAGAATCTCAGGTTGCTGCTGTTGGTTCCCGTACTGGTGCTGGTGCTGGTCCTGCTGCTGGTGGTGGTGGTACTGTTGCTGGTGCTGCTCCTGGTGCTGGTGGTGGTGCTGCTGAAACTGCTGGTTCTGCTGCGGCAGCTGCTGCTGCTGGTACTGCTGCTGCTGGTGCTGCTGGGAGTAATGCTGCTGCTGCTGCTGTTGCTGCACATACTGTGGCTGCTGCATACAAGGTTCGTTCGCAATGATGCTGCTTTCATCCCCCACCCTATCAACCCCACCTCCGCCCCCGGGCACAGACTCTCTTCCCCACGCCGCATTTCCTTCCGCCACACCCCCATTTTCTGACACCTCCATCTCATCCCATCCCATCGTGTCAAACCCTTCGGGCATCGGCAAGGGAAACGCATCCAATGCACCTGCCGCGTCCATCAGCATGTGGCTCGTCTCAAAACCCTCATCCTCGCCAGTAGCAGAAGTGGCGACGGCGGTGGAAGTTCCGTGTTCAAACCCCGTTTCTTTCTCCTCCATCAGCATTTCCTCAAAGGTTCGTCCCTCTGGCAGAAACAGTGCCACTTCATTGTCCGCCTCTAAGCCCGCTCCCACCACGAATCCTTCCCCTCCCGCATATCCTCCTGCCAATCCCACTCCCTCCCCTCCGGCCCCTTGTTCACCTTCCGCCTCCCCCCCGCCCTCGTCCTGCACGCTCCCCCCGCTCCCCCCGCGCTGCAGGCTCTTAGGCATTCCTCTTGGGCCCGAGGAGGTAGTTGCACCATTGATGGTGCTGAAGCTGCCTTGGGACTGTAGCGGGGCCTTCACAGACCCGTGAGACGCCAGGCTGGAGAAGCTGCCAAATCCGCCCGCCCCACACCCGCCCCCGAAGCTGCCAAACTCACCAGCCATCAACCCCCCAGATGCCGCCGCACCTCCGCTTCCCCCTGTCTCTTCGCTTCCCCCCGTTCCTCCACTCCCCCACGTGCCAACCCTCTCGCCTGTAAACCCCCCCATGCCTCCGCCTCCCCCTGTTCGTCCGCCGAACCCTAGCTGCACGCCCGGCCCTTGCCTTCCGCCAGACCCCTGCCTTCGAAGCATCCTCCCCGAACCTGTCATTCCCGAACCTGTCATCCCCGAGCCTGCCATACCAGATGACACGTCGTCGCCCGTGGATCCCACGTGGCAGCCGCTCGAGCTGTTCGTCTCCTGCATGCTCCCAGCTCCCGCGCTAAACGTCCCCCCGCTTAACGCAGCCCCGTTATAAGCACTCCCGCTAACAATCGAATGCGAAAACAGCCCGCTCCCCGCCACCCCGCCCCGCCTCATAGCGCGGAGAGACGGGGGAGGGGGGAGAGTCGGCGGAGTGTCTAACGAGTCGAGCTTCATGAGAGACGTCGTGGTGGGTAGAGGCCCCGATGTTGGTTTATATCCCGAGTAATTACCCTGCAGCCGTAACGGCCCAGATCTCGAGGTAAATCCCGCTGGTGGGGGTTCTCCCCCTTCCCAGAGGTCTAAGGCTTCTGGATTTAGCGGAGCGCTTCTACCGAGGATGAATCCCCCCCCGGAATGGGGGGGCTGCGGGGCCTCGCGGAAGGACATGGGCGGAGTGGCGGAGCGGTGGGGGAGGATCATCTTGCGCACATGCCTCGGGGGGGAGGAGGACGCGGGGCGGCGGCTGTACGGGCTGCAGGTTCCGGAGCCTCCCCCATCCGCGTCATAGGCGTCTCCGCTATCGAATAACGGGCCGGATTGCGCTTTATATTTATGCTTGCGCTGTAGATCCACGGCTTCCATCATATACGGATGGTTCACGCTCAACGGCCCCGATTTCGACTTCTGCTTCTTGTTACTCGCGTTCGCGAATTTCGCACCGCCTTCTGTAACTTCGCGCAGCGCCTGCACCAGGTCCAGCCCGTGCCGCAGACCGTCGCGCACCTCCGACATGGGCGACCTGGGCGACGCCGGCGACCGTGGCGACATGGGCCGCGACCGCTGCAGCGAACTAGGGCCATGCGACGACATGGCCTCGCGTGTTTGAATCCCAGGCGTGAACGTCAGATTCGCAAGTCGTAAGCTCGCCAACGCCCGGCCAGGTGTATTCCCAGGTGTGATCCCAGGTGTAGTCCCAGGTGTACCCACCGGAGTAGCTCCAGCACTGGTGAGAGGGCCCCCTGGATTGCCTTGCACTGTCGGCCCCCCTGCTAAAAGCCCCCCTTCTTCCCCGAGGATGCGCGCGGGCGTTCCGGTAGGAGTTCCCCCGGGCATTCCCCCTCCCCCTCCCCCTCCACCTCCCACTCCGCCGGCGCTGCTGAAAGCCTCCGGGTGGACGCGGGAGAACGACTGCGCACGGACGGGGGTTCCCGCGGGAGAGGCCGAGATTCCACCGCCGCCGCCGCCCTTTTCCGCTCCCTTTTCTGCAGCCCTTTCCGCGGAGATGCGGGAGAATGCTGCGGTAAGCGCGCGGCCGAGAATGTTCCCCTTTGCGCTGGAGGGCGTTCCGCGTGCCTTAGAAGCGGGGGTGTTTCCGCCAGTGGGGGTTGCACTGCCCGGTCGCGGGTGGTACGAGAGGGAGATGCGAACTTTCGCGGAGCTGGCAAAGAGGTTACCAACTTCGTCAAAAGCTCGCAGGTAGAACTCCTGATCGCCGGCTTTACCTCTTTCCATGATGTCCCTGTTCCAATGCACGGGCAAAAAGGGGTGAAGGTATGTCAATTGTGAGTCAACACCAACGAGCCGTGGTTGAAGCAATGACAAAGACAAGCTCGTCTGCTCAAAGAATCTTTGAACCAAACCAAGCTCGACGGATGCACGAAATCAAGCAAATGATGGTCAACCTGCTTACGGATACGATGATGTAACAATGGGAGGTAACAATGATGTTAACCTTCTTTACCTTGCTAGCCTGATGAGAATTCGAAACACCTAACGCACGCATTGATGATCTGATGGCGTGATACATGAGAAATTCGCCTGAAAGAGTCCGACATCAGAGAATATGATTTGATGGAGATCTGACCTGATGGAAATCTGGATGAAACCAGCAGTTGATTGCCTGTGGTGTTGAAGCATATGATGCGCACACAAATAGTATGATAACTTTAGCACATGATAGAAGTTTGACCTGATGGGAATCTGGATGAAGCCGAGCAGCTGATCGTCCGTCGTGCCGCGGTGGTGGCTCGCCATCCATATCTCGCACTTCACTTCCGTCTCGCGCTCAGGCACGCCAACCTGAAGAGCGAAGAAGTATGTCAGTGGAGGAAAGAGACATCAGGTGACAAATGAAGGAAACAAACTAGTTTGAACAATCTCAAAACGCCTGTGATTTGTCATCCATTTCTCACACTTGACATCCCCACCTGATATGGAGCGGAAGAGCGAAAGGTGGGTTAGGCAAAAGGGGGTGCATGAATCAATGATCACGGCACTAGAGGTAAAAAAACCCACCCTACCATGAACTAGAAGGACGGATTCAGTGCTCTAATCATGATCAGTCTGCAGGCTCTCATCATCTAACCTGGACTGTTGATGAGTCGACTGATAAAATGGAAGAAGCGTTTAGGGAGCTGTGATGCATACCATTCCAAGACTGTCAATATTCTTCCTCTAACCTGGAGTCGTTGGTTGAATATGGGGTTGTTTCCGCCAGACTTTATGGTTTTCGTGGTCAGAGCCACTCGTCCGATGTCGTCGCGTTCGCCGCAGAGCACCCGCGCGTACACATCCTGGGGTCCGTAGTCGCATAGTTCGCGCAATCCTTCCGCCTGAATGATATGGATGTCTAGAATTCCTGCTACTTGCGATACTTTTCGCGCCATAAAGTAAAATAATAATTGATTTAGTGATAGGGATTTGCTCGAGTGGATGCTACGCTACACTCTGTCAACCTCAACCGCAAGCTAACGTTCTATCCTGGTGCGCATTCCATTAGCACCTCCACCAATGCATTAGGCAGTCGCTATGAAACGTTAGAAGCTCCTTGAGGTAGGGATTCCGCAGAAACCTTCTGCTCCGATTTCGTGAACAGCTTTGAATCCTGATTGTGAGGACTTGGGAATTGAGTGATGGTGGCTCATTCAGTTGATCCCAAGAAGTTCCTGAAACGTTGTTTCCACCAGATGGTAGTTTGGAGGGGGGAATGCCGTTTCCTTGTAGGATTGCTTGCTAGCTGTTCATTTGCGTGGCGCGTACTGCTGCTGAACAATGAAGAAGAGGGAGCATTCTCTTCCAGCCAGCTGAAGGAGACCCTGGTAGTTTGATATGAAGCCAAGTAACCTCATTTTCAACTACTGAGTAAGCAAATTGTGCGCTTTTTAGGGGGTATGTTGTGTAAATCTTGTGATGCTTAAGGGCTTCGTATAGCCACTGATTTACCGGGAGTCTCTGGGTTGCAAACTTCTCTCCACCCTCCTATCCTCACTCCCATCTAAAAGCCTTTGCACACAATATCAGAACTCAATTACGCCTAAAAGACGGGAATTCCTCAAAACGCTGCGCTGCTTAGAATTTGGGAATGTGCATCACTTGTGGAGGAGATCCGCAAGGACTGTCCGGTTCGGTGAGGATTATTATTTTCGGGGGCATCTCTGTTTGATTGATGGGTGTACTTTTCGCGGAGCGCGAGGGGACGAAAAAATACGGGGGAATGGCGCTTTGCGCATCGAAAGATTTGCCAATGTGGTTACCGCAGTTGCGCAGGTGTTTCCCAATGTTGAGGTTGATGGGAAATTTTGTGACCGTTTGGTTTGGCGGGAGTTTTTGACTTCGCCATCGCTGAAGAATTTCCCGTTTGCTGGTTTGGCGTGGACAGTGGCTGGGGGCCTGGGGCCCCAACCAGGTGCGACGGCTTCGATCAGTTGGTGAGGCTGGGGGTGTGCTTGCACGAAAACAAGACGGCCGCCAAAGGCCACACCCAACGCCGATGTCGATCTGACAAACCGCAGACGCGTTGTAGAAGATGAGAACAGCAAACTTGAGAACATCATGGAAAACCATCTAAAATTAGCTTGATTAAGATATAGATAGCTCAACTATCTTCACTTCAATGTGGCAATTTACTCATTGATTTGTACATGTTTCGTTATACTGAAAATATAGCATATCAATATATCAATATATCTTCAAGCTCACCATCATAGTGTTCGAACATGAAGGTTATCTTAAAAAACATCTCCTACAGTGCCATACAACACTGCTGCCCAATGCATGCAGCTGTATTAGATGTTCCATAGGCAGTATGCTATAGAAGTGTAGTGCTATTGGCTAAAAACTGTAAGGAAAAACCCTTTTCCTTACAGGGGTTTACTCAACAGCGCACAACCCCAACTTTCGGAAGTACACGTTCGGCCACTTTGCTTGCTGCCGAAGCAACCTCGCGTCGCCTTCGACCTTTCCTTTGCCCAACCTGCACCCTGTCAGATTTATATGACATAGCTGCTGTAGGCTGTAGTGGGGTAGCACATATGGGGTACAGTTTTCTAGGGTTTGCACTTGTACCCAACTTTCCCTTAGTCAATTTCATTCCTCGACATTTCACATGGTATCAGAGGGTTCCCTCGTGGGAACGCTTCCTAGGGCCCACCAATCGGACAAGCTGTCCCCTCGTACTGCTCCTTGTGTCTTCCTTGGCTTCCCCCCTGACGCGCCAGGGTGGCAGTTCTACCACCCCACCTCTCGCCGTGTTCTGTCCTCCCAGGACGTCACGTTTGACGAGTCGGTCCCCTACTACCGCCTCTTCCCCTACCGCACTCCGTCCCTCCCCCCGCCACCGCTCTTCCTTGTGCCAGGTCCCCCCCCGGTAGACCCCCTTCCCCCTCAGGGTCCTGCCCCTTCAGGTGTGTCCCAGGTAGACGCAGTCGAGCCTGTCGAGGTTGCTGGTGACTCTGGTGCTGCTGAGGGTGCTGAGCCTGGGGGTGCTGACTCTGGGGGTGCTGAGCGTGTGGGTGCTACGCCTGGGGGTGCTACGACTGGGGGTGCTACGACTGGGGGTGCTGAGCCTGGGGGTGCTACGACTGGGGGTGCTGAGCCTGGGGGTGCTGAGCCTGGGGGTGCTACGCCTGGAGTTGCTGAGCCTGGGGGTGCGGAGCCTGAGGGAGCTGGGCCCGCTCGCGTGGCGTCTGGCGGTACTGTGCCTGGAGGTTCTCCGGGTGCTTTGTCTCGGCGGGAGCCACTCTCTCCACCGGAGCTGCGCGAGTGGTTTGCCCGGCGGTGGAGGCGTGCTGCTGGAGCTGGAGGTTCTTCGGCTGCTGAGGGTGCTGGTGCCGCGGGTCCCGGAGGTGCTCGTACTGGGAGTACTGGAGCTGCTGGGCCTGCGGGTACTACTGGAGCAGGTGCTACTGCGTCTTCTCGTGGTCCGACTGGAGCTGGAGCTACTGAGGGTGTTGGCGCTGAGGCTACTGCTGTCGGTCCTGGAGGCGGTCCTGCTGGGGGTGCTACTGGTGCTGCTGGAGGTACTGGAGCTGGAGGTGCTGCTGGCGCTGGTGCTACCACTTGGGGTACTGGTGCTGTCCCTGCTGTGTCTGGAGTCGCTGCGCGGCCTCGACCGTACTTCGTTCCGCTCCTTGAGCAGGTTCTTGGTCTCCCGCCTTCTACTGTTCCTCCTCCTCCCTTAGAGTGTCCACAGCCTGTCCCGTCACAGTTACAGTTACAGCCGGCCTCCCCACTGCCTGCTCCTTCTCCCTACACTGGTCCTACTGGAGGTCTTGCTGAGCGTCGTGAGCCTGCGTCTCGCCCTGCGTCGCCTGTCCGTGCTGCTCGCACTAGTGGTCGTGGTTTGCGTCAGCGTCCTCCTCCTGTCCCTGGCACGCACCGGATGTCTCTGCGTCCGTCCACTGCTCCTCTGCGTGCCCCTTTGCCTTCTCCTCCTGAGTCCTCTCTTCCTGCTCTTCCCGACCCGGAGTCGGACTCTCTTCGTGCTGCCAGTCCTACTGTCACGCGTCTCCTTGCTACTGTTGTCACTGACCCTTCCTTTGAGTCCACTGCTGCGTCTGCCCTAGTTACTGAGCTCGTCGACTTTGCTGCTCGCTGTCGTCTAGACTACGCTGCTAGTCTTGTTGCTGAGTCTGAGTCTGTCTGTCCTCCGTCCGTCGGGGGTGAGTGTGCCCTTGGCACGGACGTCCTTGAGGACAGGCAGGAGGAGTTCCAGTGTTTGGCTGCTGTTTCACCTCATCTCGTGTCCGTACTGCTTACCCCTGAGGGAGACCCGGATGCACTTGACATCCCGACTCCGCGCTCCTACGCGGAGGCGATAGAGGGTCCCTACTCCTCTCAGTGGCAGGCAGCCATGGACGCAGAGATGGCTTCCTGGAAGTCCACAGGCACCTACGTTGACGAGGTTCCCCCACCTGGGTCGAACATCGTCAGTGGCATGTGGATTTTCAGGGTGAAGCGGCCGCCGGGTTCTCCGCCTGTCTTCAAGGCGCGTTACGTGGCTCGTGGCTTCAGTCAGCGGCAGGGAGTTGACTACTTTCAGACCTTCTCTCCCACCCCGAAGATGACCACTCTTCGGGTACTGCTGCACATAGCTGCTCACCGTGACTACGAGCTGCACTCTCTTGACTTCAGCACTGCTTTCTTGCAGGGCAGCCTGCACGAGGAGATCTGGCTGCGTCGCCCACCTGGCTTCACTGGGTCTTTTCCTCCTGGCACCCAGTGGAGCCTCCGGC